CGGTGCATTTTAAAAGTAAGTTATTTAAGTTTTAAATATAATTATTACTTTATTATTATTTTCACAGATTAATTTCTTACATATACATATACATGAAATTACTATATTTCATGGTTTGCCAGTTTACGCAACAGAACATAAGACCCTAGCATTTCATCTTTCCTATCTTTATGCAACCAAAATTATGTTTATACATGTTATCACACCGAATTTTCTGTAGAATTATTAAAATGACAGTTCAATATAAATATTTAGACATTTATTGCTAAATATTATATATATTACTATATACATCGGCAATATTGCATCCAATATTTATATCGATAGTTACCTTGCGGGGAATGTATGAAATCAACACTCCATTAATATGTTTTGTAGCATTGCATAAAGTTATACTATAAAATACATTGATACACACAGGCACGTCTGTACAACGTATTGTAGACTATAAAATCTTTACAGAAATAATACTTCCTTTAATAAATTTGTACGTCGTACTTTAATTGAACAATAATCAATATGAAAAAACTGCTCATTCATCTTTTAAACTTCCGTTATCCGTAACTATTTCAAGGCGCCTGATTGATTATGTAGGCCGTGGAGAGGACATTAAAAAACCTTCGAAACTCCTCTGCTCTCGTAGTAGCTATTGTATTTGTTGGAGATTTCAGACAGACTCTTAATGTCGTTAACAGAGGTACGCGAGCARATATCATCAAAGCATGCTTAATACCGTCGCCCTTATGGACTTCGATTGAAAATATAAAATTACTAATTACTAATATGAGAGCTCATCTTCATGGAATCCCTGACAGTCATTTTGCACAGCAACTTGGGCAAGGAATTTTCTAAACTCCAAACTTAAGCAGCAATTGTAATATTCTTCTGCATGAGTCTCTAGGCTAAATAGTCTATAGTTTAGAAATTTAATATGTGCAGTACCGATAATTTTCACGAAAAGGAATTTCAATGGTTGTGTTCTTGGGCAATAGTGCCACCCAGGTATGACAGTGTCATCGAAATAAACTACTCATTATCTCCAGGAGTTTTTAAATTCATCAAACATCAAACCTTCTAGAATGCCCCCACATGAATTCTTTTGGATGAGTCTCTAGGCTAAATAGTCTATAGTTTAGAAATCTAATATGTGCAGTACCGATAATTTTCACGAAAAGGAATTTCAATGGTTGTGTTCTTGGGCAATAGTGCCACCCAGGTATGACAGTGTCAACGAAATAAACTACTCATTATCTACAGGAGTTTTTAAATTCATTAAACATCAAACCTTCTAGAATGCCACCACATGAATTGCCCTTCAAAATTGGAATTCCAATTATAATTTTGAGGAATTAAAGTCCTCCAAGCTTGTGCAACGGGACTAGGCGGCTTATTAAAAAACTGAAGGACAATTTAATTGTAGCAACCATTATTACCGGCCCAGCAGCAGGTCAACTAGCTCATATTAACGAAAATTCCAAGCGATCTGCCAATCTGATTTAAACGGCTTCAATTTCCGGTGAAAACATATTTCGCTCTAATTATAAACAAGTCCCAAGGCCAGGCTTTCGAATTGGTAGAGATTGTTATAATTCTGTACAACCAAGGAAAACATAGTTGTTATAAATTATATATAAAATTATTTATATAAGAGTCAAGTAATAAGCAATAAGTACAATTGTTAGTATTTCTTATATATAGTCTTCGTTCACTCAATAAGCGTTAAATTTAACTAGTCGATGTTTTATACTTACATACAGAGCGAAGTCAATATAGATCATAAAACGAATATATGTACCTATTAACATTTAGTGCATCGTTGATGAGTTGTACACGCTGTGTAGCTTTTGTTAGGGCTTCCACAGAATCGCGATCGCAAAAGTGATCACACGTACATATGAACAAGTTTTATTTGCTTAACAATTAGATACGTAATTATCACCTGTGGTTTAAATATTTTCACGTAAATGCTATCGGATATAAAAACAAAGTGCATTTCCTTACCGGATGTCAGTGAAGTGTTAACTGTTGCCCTTTGCATTTTGGATGAAAATCTGTGTAAACGCTTAAGAAAGTTATAAGAGATTCTGATTCTGTATATGATTTGTTTGATAGTGATTTAACATAATGAATAGAATTATATTGTTGGGTTTAATTCTTGTGGTGTATTTTGCAATAGTGCACGGAGAAAATTTGTTAAAAACTGAAGGAAACCACTCATATAGAAGCCATAATACAGACTTACAGTTCGAAGCTAGGAGAAGGAAATATCATCATCATCATAAACTATGTAAGAAATTACTTAACTGATTTTAAGAAAACATTGGAGAGGCGTGAGCAGTTCTTAGTAGTAATTAATATTTACATGCAAATTTTTTAGTCACCTAAGGATATCGCTAAGAAAAATTAATTCATAGCCTTTACAATATTTTTGAAACCATTATCAAATACATTGATTTAAAAAAAGTTTACTTCGACTGCTCCGAAGCTATATTATTCTTTAAATATGCATTTTTTTATATAATAAAAGTATATAAAAAGATCTTTATTCTGATTTTGATCGGCCAAGCTATAAGATATACCTTGACAAATGAAAAGTTTTCCATTTTGTACTTGTCTTGTCTTTTTCTACTAGCTTGGGTAGAAAAAGACGTGTGCAAAATTTAATTTTCACTGCCGGAGACTTTTACTTCGTGATTTATTTTTTTAATATTTTAATTTCAAAATTTACTTACTAATTATAACTAAAAATATATATTTTAACTCTTTTCACTCACGTAATAGTTTTGTTCACAATATATGTGATGACCACGATGGTTTCCGAGGTTACATTTATAAATATTGTGTCACGATTACAAGTTTAGGAAAAGTTTAAGCGATTTTGTTGATTAATTATCACTTTTCACTTTCAATAATGGTCTACCTTACTTTCGTGCATGTTTCTTTATTATGGCTACACATGTGAAATCTTTTTATCAAAAATAGAGCAAATCACTGGTAATCGGTATAAATTTATTTATCTACAATATGAATACATGAGAGACTTGATATTAGTTGTTGGTATCAATGTGAATGGTGAAAGTGAAGTGGTACCTTTTTAATATAGTATATGTTAAGAAAAATTAACATGTTATGGTGTTTACTGAATATACATATACGTATATTTATATTTAAGTATATTAAGCAATTAAACATTTAATAACGATTGCAAAAATGAAAAAAATTGAATGAGCCCTTTACAAGTAATTTGCATTAAACCCTACATACATATTTATTAAGAAAATATACTAATCACCTAATAACAAAAAAGGGACTATTTAGTAGAGTCCGACCGATTAATTTACATCGGCATCGGTCACTTTAAATTGGAAGGCATTCTAGGTATATTTTTTTCACTTGTTAATTGCGTTAAAGTTTAAAATATTTAAATTAGTTATACAAAGATCTTTTATCATAGATCATACCGATAATGTTGAATCAGAAGATACGTTTAGTTAAGTTCAGGGCATACGTAGTGTGACCGCCAAATACGGTATAAAACGTTAAAAAATTTTCTATGTTTTATATTTATCATATACATATAGATTTATCAATTGAATATTGGAGAATCATTGTACAGAGAAAAATACACAAAATATGCAGAATACAGAATACAACTCCAGAGAATTTGGAAAAAAAGTTGTTTTGAGGTATATGCGTGTAAGTTTGAATTGATCGGCTATATTTTAGACTGACTATTTGGAAATATGAATTTTTCGTCACCTGAAGTACAAAATAACGTAACAACATTTTCGTAAATTTACAGTGGCATGAATGAAACACGAAATAAAATGGAACATGTGAAAAAAAAATTTAATATTGATTAAAACTGGTTTATATCTGAGGGCAGAACCTAAAAATGTTGGACATATGTAATATTATGTATGTTATTTGAAGTAGTGAATCGTAATCAATAAGACCCTCAATTTCGAATTTTTTGATCATACGTTATTTTGCATTTCAGGTGACGATATGTATGTATAAACTTGATTATTTCGAAAATTCACAGCGTCCTCACTGTTTCTAAGATATATGATATGGAAACTAATATTTGTGAGACTATATTAAAAAAAAACTAGATTCATTCGACGACGCTAATCGAAACACGTGAAAAGTGTCCAAAATGTTAACCTTTGGAACTTTCATAACACAGTCATGAGGTTCAATTGGACGCCTGCTATTCACTTTGTTTGATTAATATATCTTAACCAATCGGTCCTCTTAATAGTAATATTTTCAAATTTTGCCACCAAAGCTCCTATTTGCTCGTGAAGGAAGCTTAAAAAATACTTTTCCACTTTTCCGAATAGTTTTTTAGGGCTGCAGGACATCTACATACTATCTATGTAAATGCATGCATATATACGTACATATATAGCGATTGATTTCTAAATTGGTTGGAGAAAACTCAAAAATACGTTTTTCTCTTCATTATAATATTAGCTTATTAATTTTTCACTTTTAATAAAAAGAAAGAAATCTGCATATATGTATGTATGTACGTATTGTGATTTGCATCTTCCTTATGTTAACATAAGAACTAAATTTAGTGTTATGTTGCAACAGTAATTTATAAAATTATTGTAAAACTTACAGATAGAAATAACTAAAAAATGTATTAATACATACTAAGGCAGTTTTTAAAGTTAGATGTTGCTATTTAGCAATACATTTAAAAAATATATATGCACATAAGTAATACTCTTAAGATCAAAGATACCAGATATATACAAATATTTAAATGCATGTTTCTTTATTTTCAGGGTACCTTTGGGGATGGCATGCTTTGGCTATTGCCTATTGGGTTAAAGTGAAACTTATTGTTGTGGGCTTCTTCGTTGGCAGTGCGATATTCGTAGCTTTACGATATGCCTGGCCTCATAAATGTTCTACCGGTATCGTTCATGACTCCCCCACAATTGTTTATGATCATCCGCCGTAAGTTGTAACAAAATAATTCAAATGAAAAAAGTTTAAGGTGATTCATATTTATAACACAGGCCTGCATTTGCTAACGATCATGTGCCTTATTCTTTCGATCATTCGCCCCAATTCGATCATTCATTTTCCAATTCAGACTCTGTTGATCCTTATTCTGCCTACGCTGGATCGTATTCCCAAGATATTACATCTACTGCAGAAGTGGTACCGCCAACGGCAGCAGACACTCACAGGGTCGGTCGTAGGAGTGTGCATTACTCCACAAGAGTGAAACGTCAACAATCACAATCCGAATATTTAGGAAAAACCGAGGATAGGTATGTTCATGCATTCGCTGACCTTGGTTAGAGGCATTAGTTTCCATCAGCAAAAACCGCCAAATTAGGTTATCATATAAGATTTATTTGGTTTTACTAATTTTTAAATATTATTTATATTACAATAATTTCGGTTTTCAGAATTGCCGAATTGATGTTTGATTTCTTAGGCCTGGATTCAATGGCTTGTCGACGACGTTTCATCTGTGAGATGGAGTTTCGATCACGACTTAATCCACTTAGCGGTATGGCTTTTCGAATTTTGGGTCGTGGTTTTTTTGAAAATTACATGAATGCTCGCAATAAACTTGGTCGGGCGAAATCATTCACTGAATGCTCTGCGGTTAACCCAGAGTGTAAATTTATAGAGCAAAATTCCTCGGATTCAGTATCACCGGAAGATCCAGAAGAATCCAGTGGTGCTATTGCCACTCAAGATGAAAATGAAATTATCGGCAGTTCAGAAGAAAGTCAAGTTAATAATCCTAGCGTTAATGTGGAAATTCAAAATGAAGGGAATTTACAAGCGGAACGTAGGTATATAAAATTCCTTAGACATAGTAATCTAGATGGCTCAAAAATATTGAAACGAGACGTGGATTAAACTGATTGCCCGAATGTACGAACAACTCTAAATTAACTTATATATGTACATATATATGTATAGCCATTAGTGCACGTTGTTCACTAAACTTAAAAATTATTTATGTGTTATTTATATAATCGTTAAACTTATATATATATACATATATGCTAACTAAAGCTAAGCAGTATTTAATTTTTTTATTAATGAAAAACGATATGTGGTTTGATGTAAATAATTTATTCTGTCTAAGAGTGTACTTTTATTTTTATACATTGAATAATAAATTTAAAACACTTAATTGGCGTCAATATTTTATTTAGATAATCGACAATAATTCTATGCACTGCGAACGACTGATACTGGGTTAGGATTATATTCTTTTAGCTTTTTTTTTTGTTACTGAATTTATTTGATCAGCAATTTTATCAATTTTTTTTTGATTTATTGGTTCCACACTACGTATTTCCTTTTTCCTGCTGCTTTCCTGCTTTTGTGCAAAATCCCGAGCTATATCATTTCCTTTATTCCAAACAAAATTTAGGAAGTCCATAGCAATATCTTGTTTAAAGAAAGCAATTGATACTAAAGCCACTAAAATTAGAGCTGAAATTGAATTTTGATTCAAATCCGCTTCAGCTGTGCGAATCTCTGGTTTGAAGTTCATTTCAATAAATATAGAGCTAGTCTCTGCCACAAATGTTTCCGATGGTAATATATAAGAATAAGTCTTATCGGAAAGCGTCGATTTCAGTTCCACTGTGTAGCTCTTACCATCCAGCGGTATGCGCGGAAGAAATACCATAATGCCAGGATTGTAATTTGATTTCATGTTTAAAGGAGTTTCAATACGTTGCGAGTAAATCGGTGAATCAGATGCACCTTTACGGTACATCAAAATTCTAAATGTTTTATAGTGATCATTTAGGGTAGTACTAATACGTACTATTACATCAACGAATTTTATAGGACTTATGGCGATAAAATTGACTCCACGTATATCACTTTGCGCTATTTTTACGATCCGAGTTTCAGGAATTGAGCGTGCAATATTTGAATCAGGCCTGTCAACATCTTTGGGTTTTAAAACATAAGTACATCCTGGTTGCAGTCCTCGCAAACGATACTGCCCGTTATTTTCACTTGTGGTTTCTTCTTGTTGATGTTGACAATTTTCGTCAGATAGGGCTTCGATATTTATTTGCCCGAAAGGTTCACCATTTAGCGAATTTATCGATCCAAAAATGGAATACGCCACTCGTTTTCCGCTAAACAATATTTGAGGCATTCAAAATAAAATACTAACTTTTTTAATTTTATTTTTAATACTTACATAATTTCTAATTTAAGAGTTTCCCCATCCTTGATATCAATCATTTTCGATGAAGGTTGAAATTTATATTCTTTCATCATGGGTCGTAAATAATAACGTGAAGGTGAAAGTGAATGGAAATTAATAGGCTGTTCTGTGGTGATCAAATTCCTACGATAACTTTCTGCACCGCTTAACGACAGTAAAACACCACTTAATATTTTGCCATTCTCATCTTTGACATTAACAATAATCTCACATAATTTATGCACTTGAAATGAAGATGTTTCCCAATTGAATTCAGAGAAAACATATGACTCTTTCTCAGCTTTTAATTCATATTTGAGATTCTCGTCAATAGGTCCAAATGTGAATTCCCCGTTAATATTGGTATGCAAAATTTGTGCAGTCAGTTCTGGATTCTCTGGATGATTTAAAATAATTGTAGCATTTGCCATAGTAGGCACTACTTTTCCTTTTATGATTAAGCCTCGCTTAGCGATGAAATTAAATGCAATGTCTACACAATCATGACTTCCTACTAATTCCTTAGTTTGAGGAGAAAAAAGTAACAAATCGCTTTGCGGTGTAACATGTATTATTTCCTGGGGTTGCAAGTGAGTATCATATCGGAATGAATATTTTCCATCTACTTTATGAGTCTCAGCGAATGGTGTTATAACATTCTTGCCAAGAGTTTTTGATTCCACAATTAAACGTAGAGAATCTATATTTGCATCTGAAGAAAGTATTCGCATACCTATTTTGTGGGCAATAGCAGTAATTATAACAGGTTCTTTATCGGCAGTATTAAACGTTTTAGGTAGATTGTCATCATATAAATGACAACCTTCCAATTTAAATTTGTATGTCCCAAATATAGGAACACAAAATGTGTTCACACCTGTAAGTAATTTCAGAGTATCTGCTGATAATTGTTGTTGCTGAACGGAAACTGCAGTGTCTGTGTAAGAATATTTCATCTGTAGAAAAGTGTGTATTAGTTTTTATTTAATCGTTTTTATTTTAGATTTAATTAGGTTTTTATTTAATCGAATTTCAACTTACAATAGCTCGGTGGCTCGAAATTACAGTAACCTCATATCCTCTTTGAAGGAAGGGTGGTGCAGTTTGTGTAACTGTAGCAACGTTGACAAAGACCGTTGTGGAATCAAAGCACAAGTTCTCCTTACTTATAGTTAACTCATACGCACCCGGAAGTATATCTTTGAATAAGTACTTGCCACCTTTATGGACATAATTGTAAGTTATATGTTAAATTTTTTCGCAAAATAATTACCTTTTGCTGTTAACTTTTCCACTTGCCCTGTTCGCTGCCCTTCTGAATTTATTGAATGCAGTGTAATTTCTGCTGCAGTACATGCCTCAGGAGCATCCGGAAGACATTTTACTTCTCCAGACAAAGTTGCACGTAGTTGTGAAAATAAAATATCCTTGAGCGGTTGGTATTGTACGTCGATTTGTTGCTGTAGTGGGAAAAATTGTATACCACTAGTTTTATCTGAGTCTGTTGTCAGGACTTCAATATTGTATTTTCCACTTGATAAATATGTACACCAATCTCCAGATTCGGGTTTGCTCGAAACCGTTGTGTGAAAAACGGATGAATGCTTTGTAATACCAACAACATATGATTTTTGTGAAACTACTTTTCCACAAACTTCGAAAGTTATTGGCACTATAGCATCAATATTTGTTGTATTTATCTTTAAATCGACTTCTCGTTCACTGAACTGATAGTGTGGGCATTCTGCTCGAAGTTTATAATGTCCAGGCCTTATATTTTCCAACGTAAAGCTACCATCTATATCCGATTTTGCTACAACTTGATCATTCAAAATTATTAAAGCACCTTCTATAGGTGATCCAATATGTGAATTAAGTACTTTCCCAGCGACAGTAAAACCAGTAATCTAACAAACAGTTTTATTATTACCATAATAAATCAAATAAAGTTATACTTACTTTAAATTCCTCTCTTATAAAGAGTGTGTCTTTTTCCACTTCCAATTCTATGAATATTGGTGTTATGTGTAATTTATTTGCGGAATTTTCCACAATTGGTTGCACCAAATATTTGCCCGGTGGAACTCCTTTGAATATATAATTACCTTTCCTATCCACTGATGTTTGGCAAGACGAATGTATTTCATAATTTAAATTATTAACTGATAATTCAACATATCTTCCTTGTTCGCATAATAATAAAAGTTGTTGCTTTTAAGTTAAATCAAGATTATTAGGTAATCACATACACGTACAATAATATAATCTTACCCCTTTCTCTCTGAATAATGCCAAGTTAATGCCGTCGATTAATTGACCATTCGAATTAAAATGCCCGAGTACATCAAAACCTCCTACAACTAATGAATTATCTGGCAATTCAGTATTGCCACTTTCCACTAAAACGTTGTGTTCCGATTTTGAAAAATGCCATCTCGGATGTGTAGCATACAATTTGTATTTTCCTGGTATTATGGGGGTAAAGGAGAAAATTCCATATGTATTAGTCACAACAAGACGTTCCTCGCTTTCAGCTTCCGAAATTAAATGAACGCTTACGCCCTGCACACCACTATTATCTCGACCAGCAAGTGCTACTTTCCCAGTAATACCAAAACCTTTAAACACAAAGTTCACGTCTTTGCCTTGACTACAAATATCATTTCTTCCATCAAAATTAAGTTCCACCTGTAGTGGCTCGAAACTCCAACCTGGTGGCGGCGACACTTGTAAGATGTATTCACCCTTATCATAAATAGGCAAAAAATAATATCCATTTGAAGGAGAACAGTCGGTTTTATCCTTTAAAGAGCCCTGTTTTGTCAATCTAAATAAAAGTAAATCATTTTAATGTTATAGGTTAGTAGCCAAAAGTAATCTGACAAATCATGTGAACACCACGGTGCAATTGATTTTACTTACAACTTTACTTCTACCTTGGAAAAATCAATTTCTGCATGACTTTTTATAAAGCCTCCACACCCTAGCACATCATCGGCTTTTGAATAATGGAGAATGCTACTACATTGTGTTAGTAATATTAAACAAATTATTCGAAATACGTTCATTTCATCTAAATGGTAGGAACTGTCGGTAATAAATATATGATTTATAATGATTACCTACTGTTTCTACAGGTAATAGTTAATATCGCGTTAATCTTATCAGCGGCAATATTACTCAATTAGGCAGCACAGCGTTTGGTAGTCAATAGTCAAGGCAATATATTCTCGCACAAAAACATCAATAAAAATAGTTTAAAAATTAAAACTCCCAACATATATTACGATTACGAATTACTATATAGTGGTTGCTAAATATGTGAGAAACTATTTAAATCTTTTTATGGTATGTTAAAACAACTGATTTTGAGTTTTCAAGAGTTAATAAAAACATTTAAGTTGGTTAGTTCTCAATTAATAAATGTTTTTAAAAAATTTTAATGGAAAATTAATAATATAATGCGTCATTTTATTTGTTTTAAATTTTTTTATTATTGGCCTTGATTGGGTAGGATCTCAATCTGGCCGTCCCTCGTTTCCAGTTGTGAAACGTCAAAAACCTCCTGAACTCTGTTAACTGATAACTTACAAAGTTCTGGAATTTTTAACGTTTGGCAATTGCTATGCCATTTCTAGTGAGAGATAAGTTAATAATCTCATTATCTCTGCTGGCCTTGTGTCTTAACTAGCTACCAGCAAGAAAAAGACTAACATTTATTCTCACAAAGAAAAAACAATGAAAAAGTAATGAAATGGAACCAATTAGGAAGATATCAAAATATTTTTTTTACAATAATTTTATATCAACACTTGAAATTCAATCTAATAAAAATAAACTAAATTAAAATAATTGCGTCAAATATTGCTTTTATACACGTATGCTTTAAGAGCTGATTTTTATATGATAGTAAATAGTTTCACTAGTAAATGCTAGCAGATCTCTCAGCTTTTAACGCTCTCAACTTGCGCTCTATTCTGCTAGTTTTGGTTCAGAAACGCTTTTCCGGCAGAAATTGCATTAGCTAGTAATAGTTAGGAGATAAGAAACAAAGCTAATAATAAAAGTGTGAATGTATTGCAAGTTGAAGCAATTTTTTGATCGTGTAACGTTGGGGTAAGTTTGTAAAAAATTTGAATGTATTGAGTTTTTTAATTACTGGAAAATATCGAGCCTGGCAACCTTGCATTGTAAGAAAGCAATAAGTTCATTTCCTATGGGAAAAATTCAATTTATGCGGATATCCCACGTAACGAACGATAGAAGCGATGGTGAGTATTCATTTGGATTGCACTCTTATAAGTTATGTAGTATCAACACAATTAAATTCATACAAAGACGGCGTTCAGATGACGTCCTCTCGTTTACAAACGCCGGTTTGGGCGAAAAAACAGTCCCTCGTCGTTGGGCTTACTCAAACCGTGCAACTCAGCTTTACAATTTACTGTTAATAAAGAAACGTTGAATAAAAATACAGGAACAGCTATAAACATAGTTTTGAAATTAAAAAAAAGTACTACTATTCTCATCAGGCTAAGAGTGATTTCACTATTATTTACAATTTAGTATACAATAGAACATTAAATAAGCTTGAAATCAATAAATATACTGTGATCTTTAAAATAAGCGTTTATTAAAGTTTCAGAACTTCGAACTTTGATTTTGCAGAAACAATGAATTTTACACAATTTTTGTGAAGGGTAAAGTTTTGTGTAAGAAAAATTTTCCCCTTCCCGAGCGCAATAAGAACTATTTTGAGCTAGTATTTTTCAGTTTTTCACTCCCAAAAAAAAATAATTTTATTTAAAGTTTTGAGAATAATTTTTGAATTAACATAATCACAATCATAAAACTAGCCTTAAATATTTGAAAGAAAACTTGATAATATTGAAGACAGGGGTTTTACCAATTTAATGGAGTTTCCGCATCCCTAACTAAAGCGTTAAAAAGTAAAATTGTAATTTTTCTGAAAATATCTTATCGAGCGATGTTTAATGCTTGTAAAAATGGATATAAATATTATTAATAAATGAAATTGTTTTGCTTTTTATTTCTTTTGCACTAATTTTAGAATTTAAGTGAGAATTTGTCGTAAAGTTGCCGCTTTATTTTGGGATGAAAATTAATATTTTCGAGTTAGATACTCTTAATAATCCGAAAATACTTCCGTTATTTTAGGGTTATCTCTGGTTCAATGTGTTGTTTTCCAAAGAGTAAATGAATTTCTTTCATTGGTTAATGATACGTTTTTAAACCTTTTAATTTCCTTAGTATAGAAGTGATAAATTTGTAACAGCTTATGCATGTAAATCAAAGGAGCGTTTTCTGATGGTCGTCGGTCGCCGTTCACAAAGTACTTGTATAGTGGACCTAATTTTTTGGGAGCAAAGTAAAAAATAAAACAAAAATAAAACACAGCTCAAGCCTTTCAAAATAATTGTATTGTGAATTGCTCACTCTGCAACCTTATAAATTATGCTCTAACTTTAGAAAAATATTTAAAACATATGGAATAATAATATTCACATATGCACGTATATATAGTATATAACATATGCAAATACGGACACATATGTATGTATATATATATGGATCAGTTAATGCTTTTTGCAATTAATTATATACATACATATAATAAATGTACTATATATATTATAAACTGTACAGTATTCCGTATTAATGTGTACGTATCTTGTGAGCAAACATCACGCTCCTTTTGGAGCGATAGCATATGTCATATTATATAATGTATTTGTATGCGTATTTTATAGTTAAATATCAATATATACATTTTTAATTTCCCCTCAGGGAAATTCAGTAGTCATAAATTAGCTAAGAACTAGTATAAATCGCAGCAAATCTTTAAGAAAGCTTCACTATATTTTAGCATGCTAATATTTTATAGTGATATACATACATATCTAATGCTTAAAATAAAAAGATTAAAATAAAATAATAAAAATACGTAAATTTGATATAATTACGTTGACATCAAATGGATGGATAGTAATTTGTTAAAAGTTGTAAATTAGTTTTATTATTACTTATTTTTTTAATGCTTCACTGCAGTACTTATGAGAATACATAAACAGAGGCCTATCTTCATATGCATGTTTGTATTTCTTTACGTAGGAAGTGAATGTACTCAAGAGATTCCATTCAGTTTTAAGCGAAGTATTTAGCCGTTCGGACGTCGTACTTTCCAACAACACAAGTGCAATAAAAACAACAATTCCTGAGTGTTAATCAGATGCAAATTAAATAAATGAGTAGTCCAAAATATTTGTTTGTGTAATAGGCCTTTGCCGATCTCATCATATACTGATGAATTTGAGTCATATGTATGGATACATATACTTGTACATATGTATATTAAGCTTGTATTCAGACTCATATGCTACATATACAAACTTATGTCAAATACTGATAGTTTCGGTGATAGAAGAATCTTGTGAAGCTAAAAATTGTTGATAAGAAATGTATGTAAACACATAAATATACATACAACGCGAATCTTGGTTCCGACATTTTTATATTCTTTATTATTATTGTTTTATAGAAATAGATAAATTGACTATCAAATTATGAAACAATACATACAATATATGGTACATTTAGTGGCTTGCAAGTGTTAAAACTTATAAACATTAGTACATAAACGGACTTTTAATGTGTAGTAAGAACATTGCTGATTAGCTTTCGTGCTTTGCATTATTATATATTAATTATGACAACGGAAACCCTTAAGCCCTTTCTATCAACGTCCCGCCGAGTGGATAGCGTTACTACAATGCGCTTGAGCACCACATCACATTGTCAACAAGGCTTCAACTTTAAGCGGATAATTTTCGGCACATTTGCTGTGGTTTTATTTTTATGTTTGTTTGGTTTTATGGTGAGTTTATCAATTAATTGATTAAGTATATTAAGACCCGGTATCTTCAACAAGAGACTTTCTTAAGTTAGATGAAATTTGAAGTGCAGCTCCCTTACGGTTTCTCCAACTTATTTAATAGCTTTGCCCGTTACTCTCTGGCCCGTTTTTGTTTTTTTTTACTTTTTTTCATAGAAATTTTTATTCCGTGTTGCGAATATTAAGAAAAACAAGTAAGGAAGGGCTAAGTTCGGGTGTCACCGAACATTTGATACTCTCGCATCAAATACCGTATTTGTGTAAAGTTTTATTCCGCTATCATCATTGGTTCCTATATGTATATATTATACAGAGAAGGCATCAGATGGAATTCACAATAGCATTATATTGGAAGAAGGCGTGGTTGTGAACCGATTTCACCCATATTTCGTACATGTCATCAGGGTATTAAGAAACTATTATGTACCGAATTTCATTGAAATCGGTTGAGTACTTCCTGAGATATGGTTTTTGGTCCATAAGTGGGCGACGCCACGCCCATTTTMAATTTTTAAARAAAGCMTGGRTGCAGCTTCYTTCTGRYATTTCTTYCGTAAAATTTAGTGTTTCTGACGTTTTWTGTTAGTCGGTTAACGCACTTTTAGTGATTTTCAACATAACMTTTGTATGGGAGGTGGGCGTGGTTATTATCCGATTTCTTCCAKTTTTGAACTGTATATGGAAATGCCTGAACGGAACAACCCTGTAGAGTTTGGTTGACATAGTTATAGTAGTTTCCGAGATATGTAAAAGAAACTTAGTAGGGGGCGGGGCCACGCCCACTTTCCAAAAGAATTGTGTCCAAATATGCCCCTCCCTAATGCAATCCTTTGTGCCAAATTTCACTTTAATATATTTGTTTATGGCTTAGTTTTGACACTTTATAGGTTTTCGGTTTTCGCCATTTTGTGGGCGTGGCAGTAGGCTAATTTTGCCCATCTTCGAACTTAACCTTCTTATAGAGCCAGGAAATACGTGTACCAAGTTTCATCATGATATCTCAATTTTTTCTCAAGTTACAGCTTGCACGTACGGACTGACAGACGGAAATCCGAATTTCAACTCTACTCGTCACCCTGATCACTTTGGTATATATAATCCTATATCTGACTCTTTTAGTTTTAGGACTTACAAACAACCGTTATGTGAACAAAACTATAATACTCTCTTTAGCAACTTTGCTGCGAGAGTATAAGAATTAAGCAAATCGGTTGAGTAGCTCGACCGGAATCATGTCCGCCAGTTCAAAAAGAGTGTTTTGAGGAAAAGTTGAGTAGTGCACTCAACGTCGAGCAGATATATTATTTCTGGGCCTTTTTCGAAACCTTCCAATGTTAAAGTGGGTGTCTACATTACTTCTAAGGGTACAAAGGAATAGAAAATGTAAAATAATAAATGCAAAATATGGTTTTTTTAATAATGCTTATTAAATACAAATCCGGAAATGAGCAAAAAATACTAAGACTTTGTTCATAATTTTAAAATTCATAATTTAATCCATTCCTCGATACATTTATTAGCCTTCAAAGCACGTAGCTATTAACTTTTATTTTCTTTAATTGACGCAAAAGGTTGTCTTTCTATAATTCCGGCCTCTTTTTATACTCTTGCAACCAGTTGCTACAGAGTATTATAGTTTTGTTCACCTAACGGTTTTACGAATCACCTCAAACTATTCAAGCTAGATAGAGGGTTATATATATATATATACATATATATAAATGATCAGGACGACGAAAAAAGTTGAAATCCAGGAGTATGTGGGTAGTACAAAAAAAATTTCGAGTTTGTAGATAGGCGTAATCGGACCACTGCCACAAGTTTAATGTACATATCTCCAAAACCACTTAAAGAGAATTTAATTAACAATTCAACTTTATAAATATAGTAAAAATAGTTCAATATAAAAAATAAAATTTAATTAAGAATTCCACTTTATAAATGTATGTACATATATACTATATATCTATTTCAGTATGTTCATTTTCGGCGTATTTCTCAAATTGAAACGAATATTCAACATTTGACGAAAAAAATATTGCAAATGCAAGAACGACTGGACCTGACGAATTTAAACGATTTGGGTGATTATGAAAATGAGGTAATTATATGTAAATGAACATTGCATTAAATTAAATTAATGTAAATTAAAACAACAATGGAAGGACAATGATCAGGATCAAGTAAAAAGTCTGCTGTAATTAATAAACAGAATCTTCGTCTTGGGAGGTATATGGGCAAACCAGAGGTAGTCCTTCTAATTATAGCCCATGAATACAATCGCTTTCGAGGCCATGTGAAGTCAAGGACTTCCTCTCTGCGCGCTCTAACGAATGTGGGAGAACTTCCTCGAATAGAAAGGTTATATAGTCGAAAATTTTATGGTATTTAGCGTAGAATTAAAGGATTATAACAACTACGACTGCGTTGTTTGAATACCATCTTGTCGGACCAATTTTAATGCTACTATACTTTTGTCAGTATATATAATTTCCTTTATTTACCCACAAAATGTAAGGCTAGGCTCATTTCGTTATAGAATTTTTATATTGTAAATATTTATGTTTTAAAATAATTTAGTACGATACCGTAATTATTGATCAACCAAAAATATCACGAAATGCTGGAGGAAAATTTAGCCAAGGATATGAACCAGATTATTACGAAAATGAATCTGATTATACTGAGTTTAGAAACGAGTTCCCCGTTATGAACTATGACGAGGATGAAGATGATGAAGCAAAAAATTACATTATTAATGACGATTCTAAAGGAAATGAAGATGAAGATGATGAAAACGTTATGGAAACATCAGATGATGGCGATTTATATGATAATTTTTCCAAATTCAATGACTCACGAAAAAATAACACAAGGTACAAAATTTTTATTTTTTAACTTATTCATACTTCAAACAAAAAATATTCATTTACACTTTCAGTGCGCGTAATCCGCGTGCCATTGAATCAGAACTATTTAGCAAAGACGATCAGAAATCTAAAATCATAGACTTAAGAAAAAGTGCTGATGAATCTTTGGATGCTCTTAATCACCCTAAGAATATGGTGATACTTAGGTAGGTATATAAACGATTTTCATGGCAGCACGTCCTCTTTCGTAAATTATATCAGCTTACATATGTAAGTAACACATACTGTCTTGCAGGGATAATTGATTAGACAAATTACGCCGATTAATTTTTCGTCATTATCCTTAACGTGTTAAAATAACATCCATTTTCCACTAAAATATAAGTATGTACTATATGTGTAAACATCCAGCGAAACAAAAAATGAAGCACTCAATATATTTTGTAAACTGTCCGCTGAGAATTCTAGTAACCCGATAAATTTAATATTAAAGTTTTTGTATCTTATTTTCATAATGTTTGCAAAAAATTATTAAGTTCTAAATTTCACGGTTATATGTATGCTAAATCATCAAAATATACGGTGTATGGTGAATTCAGTTTCTACAAAATTAATTATTGTAGCCAAAAAATCCTTTTATGTATCTTTAATAACTTGTGGTGTCACCTATAGCGTTTATGACACTTTTAACATTTTTATACCCTGAAAAGGGAATATCAAGTTTGAAACACCCAGAAGGAAGCGTCGGAGACCCTATAAAGTATATATATAAATGATCAGTATGTTGAGCTGAGTCGATTTGACCCTGTCCGTCTGTCCGTATATATACGAACTAGTCCCTCAGTTTTTAAGATATCGTTTTGAAATTTCGCAAACGTCATTTTCTCTTCAAGAAGCTGCTCATTTGTCGAAACTGCCGATATCGTACCACCATAACATATAGCTGCCATACAAACTGAACGATCGGAATTAGGTGCTTGTATGGAAAACTTTTTTATTTGGAAACATATCTTCATAAAAATTGGCATAGATTATTTTCCTGAACAATGCTATAATATCCGAAGGAATTGTTCCGATCGGGCTACTATAGCATATAGCTGCAATACAATCTGAATCATCGGAATCAAATGCTTGCATGTTAAACTTCCTCATTTGACATTATATCTTCACGAAATTTGGTATGAGTTATTTTTCATATAAATTATGTAATATCGGAAGAAATTGTTCAGATCAGCTCACTATAGCATATAGCTGCCTTCCAAACCGAACGATCGGAATCAGGGGCTTGTATGGAAAACTTTCGCATTTGGCGTGGTATCTTCACGAAATTCGACGTGGAATACTACTTCGAGTAATAATATAATATCCGAAAATATCGTTCAGATCGAATTACTATAGCATATAGCTTCCATACAAACTGTAACTATGTGTCCAGTAAAAAAAATGCGCCTGTGAGGGATATATTAGGTTCGGTGCAGCCGAAGTTAACGTTTTTTCTTGTTTTGGAAAGAATTCGTATAAAGCACTTAATACATATTCGGCGGGCGATTACCGCTTTGAATGGCACTTCTTCCATAATTAGCCTCAATTCAACTATTGTTTTGGATTCTTTTATGCGCATTTTAGCGTTTATCTCAAATGTCAAAATTAATGAATTGACTTAAAAAAATTGTGGAATTAAAAGTCTTCAGTTTATCAGCGTTCATTATTAAAATTGATTCCGATTCGTTCTTGGTTCCCCATATCTGGGATACCATTATATAGGAGGAATGTTTCGCATTAGAGAGAATGCAATTTCCTGTGAATACATCACCATGTCTGTGGCGAACTGTTTAATAACCATCAGGTTCAATAAGGTTAAACTTCGACTAGTCGGAAATCATTACAGTTTACAGTTGCATCCAGTTAAGTTTATTTTTAACCCAACTTAAACGCTTTTCTTTCATTTCTGTGGTCACGATTGCAAAGGCTTTGTGCTTTTTTGATCAACCATTTTCTGACAAAGGCCATTGGTTTGTTTAGGCATGATTTTGTTTTATTTAAAAGAAAGCACGAATTAGCTAATCATACAAGCGTATGCTTGTAAGTTAATGAAATGTTAAGCAAAATGTATATCGAGACTGACAACCCTGCGAATGAGAGATCTAATTTGCTCAAATGTCCGCTTTACGGACGGTAGAAGCGGTGGTGAGTTTTCATTTACATTGAAACAGTGATCAAAAGAGAAACTGTTTGCTGGTGTGGAATAGCATATGGCAGCTTACTACCCAATGTTATACCATAACATATCAGAGTGAGATAATTATGATGTCAAATAGTCTATTGCTAACATTATTTATTTCGCCATTAAAAAATTAAAACTGGAAGTTATCGTCCTCCGAAAGATAAAATTTTAAAACACATATTATTAATACGATA